CCCGGAGGAGCGGCGAAGCCCCGCCGAACCGCGAGTTCCCGGGCCGAAGGGACAGGCCCCTGAGTCATGCCGCGTCATCCGCCGGGGAACTGTCGCCTTTCGGCCTGGGGTTAGGGCGTCCGGTGGGGGACAGGAACGCGGCCCTGCCGGGGCACAGGGGACGGCGGCGGCGCCGGAGCGGCTGCGAGCAGAGGACAGGGCGGGGAAGAAAGCGACGGCGGCGTCCTCTCCCGAGGCGCTCCTGCTCCCTCGAGCCCCTTTACTGACCTCGCCGACCCCCTCCCGACCGACCTCGGTGACCTCCCGTATGTGCCCCGGGCTCCCCATCCCGCGGGCCCCCCTCACGCACCCCGGGCAGCCTCTGAAGTCTGGGGACAGGGGCCGCGGGAGGTCCCAAGGGCTCAGACCCTCCAGGCACTGGCCCGGGCCCGGAAAATGGAGGGAGACCATTCCTCGCGCAAGTTCGCACTGACCGGGCCTAAACCCAAGGGTAAGGACGGGCTCCCCAAAGCTCTAGCACTGCCCAGACCGCCCGGTGTCAGGCCTGGGGTCGTCCCATGCTGTCGCTCCTTGGAGAAGCTCTTAGAGTCAGTGACGAGTAAATGAGGTGGTTCCCGGGCTGGCCGGTTGGCTCGGTTGGTTAGAGCGTGGTGCTGATGACATCGAGGTCCAGGGATCGGTCCCTGTACTGACAGACGAGAAAAAAAAAAAAAAAGAGGTAGAGACCTGGTTCCCGTAGAGCAGTTCGCACAGGGCTTGCCATCCTTTCCGGACTGAGTTCCAGGGGGCAGGCCCTAGGTCTTTCTTACCTTTTTAGAGGCCAGGATTCTGTGAGAACAGAATCTGACGCCCAAACCGCAGGGCTGTTTGTTGAGTGAGCATCAGACTCTGATGTGATATTCACTGGACACTGATTGAGTTCCTACTCCGCATTATTCATTGTTTTATTCATTCAGAAAATAGTTTTATTTATTATATGCCTCCTTCACTGGTTCATAAGTAACTTTGTTTCATTGACTGCTCTATCAGCAATGTCTAAAACAGAGTTTGGTATAATAGGAGGCACCCAATTCTTATTTCTTAGGTAAATGACTTGTAGGGAACCCAGGAAGAGGAGCAGCAAGGTTGGGAAATGTTGGTAGGTCTGGAGCCCAGGAAAGTGAGCTTGAGAGCATTCACAGTGGTGAGAGTGAATGAAGTAGAATGCTTTCTGCTCCAGTTGCAGACACCTGATTCAAACTGGCTTAAGTGATAAGGAAGGTATCAACTCACAAATCAGGGAGTCCACTAGTAGGGCAGAGTGGGTAGATTCCCTGGCCCTACAATGTCATTAGGAACCTGAGATCTTTCCATCTCACTGCCTTGCTGTCCCCACCATTGACTTCATACTAAAGCTAGCTCCCCTCATATCACAAAATGGATGCTACAGGCAATTGGTTCTTCTCCCATCCGACAGGCAACAGTATGACTGATTTCTCTTTCCCAGAAGTCCTAAGCAAACATCTCCTTGAATCTCTTTGGTCTAATCTGGTTCAGACCTTTTCATCCCCCTAAAACTTACTGCCAAGGGGGTTGGAATTACCAAGACTACATTAGATTAACATTTTAGAGTGGATTAAATGTTGAGGGGAATACCATAATGTCTACTAAGGAATGAAGTGACTCTGGGACTGAGTAAAAATGAGAAGAGAAGACAAGTAAGGATGAAACTCTCAGGATCTCTGGCATTCACAGGTCAGGCAGAGGAAGGAGAGAGCATAGGAAGGAAACTGAGAAAGAATCATTAAAGAGGAAGTAAAGAGAATTGGAGTGCTTGTCATGGTTTTAGATAACTAGTGGGAAGGTTTTCCCAGCTCATGATCATTCTGCTATCTCTGGGAATGCCCTGAAACACAATGGTAGCCCCCATTGACCATGACTGGAGTTCTTGACACTGCCACATGGCTTTAATGGTTTGATCCAGGACTCCAACCCTGACCCAAGATGAGACAGTGAGAGCACCCTTTCTCCCCTTGTACCAATCATGGACATTAATCCAAAGGTCAGCAATTACAATCCTTCCTGGGAATTTTTCTCTCTGGTGTGGAAGACAGATTTACCTCTTTCTTTCTTTCTTTCTTTTTTTTAAAGATGACCGGTAAGGGGATCTTAACCCTTTGACTTGGTGTTGTCAGCCCCACACTCTCCCAAGTGAGCCAACTGGCTATCCCTACATAGGCATCTGAACCCGTGGCCTTGGTGTTATCAGAATCACACTCTCCCAAGTGAGCCATGGGCCGGCCCTGATTTAATTCTTTCTAAAGGTAATGCCATTAGAGGAGAGGGGACAAGGAAGAGAGAGAAACTTAGTGGTACTAGAGTCCTGATTTCAGTTTTCCTTGAGGCCTAGTTTCAGTGTAAAACACTGGACTGTCCTTCCACTAAGTTACTCATTTATTCTAAGCAAGATGAGCTGATCGAGCAGGCTATTGGTTGCCTATCAATCTCAAGCAGAGACTGAGAAAGGGGCTTGGCAGCAGGCAGATCATTTGGGAGGTAATCTCAGAAATCAAGAGTAAGGAATTGAGGAGAATTAGACAAGAAAGAAAGAAAAGCCAAACTAATGCTGCGTTGTGGACATTGCTGCTATAGATAACGGGGCCTGGATTCCACCAGGCCTTTTGAGGAGAGTGCAAATGCCTCCCAGAATTAGGAGGTGCGAGGCTGAAGCAGTTATCTCCTTGCTCCCCTCCTCCACTTGTTGAGTTTTTTCTCTAGGGATGTTAACTTCCTTTTACTTCTGGTCTCCTTTTACTAAGCAGGCTCCCATGACATCTGAGAAGTTTTGGAGGCAGGCATAAAGACAGACAGACACACTGCATGTCTGAAGTGGGACACTGCCAGTGCAAGGTAAGTATAAGCTTGCACAGGGCTGTCCATCCTACCTGTATTCATTCTCTGTGCTGTCACAGCAAAGTCCTACACATTGAGCAGTTAAAACAGCACAGAAATTATCTCACAGTTTCTGTAAGTCAGAAGCCCAGGCACAGTGTGGCTTAGTTGGTTCTCTCAGAGTCTCACAAGGCCAAAATAAGTATCGGCAGGGTTACACTCCTTTCTGTAGGCTCTAGGAATGAATCTACATTACAGTTCATTAGTAGAATTCAGTGCCATGCAATTGTAGGACTGACATCCCCATTTGCTTGCTGGCTGTCAGTTGGGGGTCTTTCTCAGTTTCTAGGGGCTGCCTACATTTCTGGGCTTGTGACTCCTCCTTCTATCTTTAAAGCCAGCAACATCAGGTTGTGTCCTTCTCACACTTTGAATCTCCCTGACCTCCCTTTCTGCCTCATCTCTCTTAAGTTCCTCTTCTGTTTTTAAGAGCTCATGTGATACGTTAGGCCTGGTTGGATAATCCAGGGTAATTTCCTAATTTAAGATCAGATTATTAGTAACCTTAATTCCCTCCACAGCAATAACTAAATTAGTACTCGATTTAAAAGCCAGAGGACAGAAATAGGGGTGGGGGACATCTTTATAATTTTGCCTAACAAAGAAACTGTCCCTGAAATCAAGGTGGGCCAAGAGGATCAAAGTTCATGATGGTTTCTTAGACTTGAGAGATGTCATTATAAGGACAGGCTATGATAAGTGATCACTCTGGTCTCCACAAGACAGAAAGATGCTACATCCTCCCCTCATTCTTCTGCTCCTTTTTCTCACCCTGACCTCTAGATTTTTCTTTCAATTCAGTCCACCCAAGACTAATTATCCCCATCAATTCC